TTTACTGCTGTAAACAGACACCATGACCAAGGCAACTCTTATAAGGACAACATTCAATTGGGGCTGGCTTACAGGTTCAGAGGTTCACTCCATTATCATCAAGGTGGGTACATGGCAGCATCCAGGCAGAGATGGTGCAGGAGGAGCTGAGAGTTCTACATCTTCATATGAAGGCTGCTAGCAGAATACTGACTTCCAGGCAGCTAGGGTGAGGGTCTTAAAGCCACACCCACAGTACACACCTACTCCAACAAGGCCACACTTCCTAATAGTGCCATTCCCTGGGCCAAGCATATACAAACCACTACAGGAAGAGAAAGAGATTTGTAGGGAAGGGTGACATGTTCAATTTGTTACAAACTGAATTTTTTCTTTTTTCTTTTTTTGGTTTAGTCTTTTGAGACAGGGTTTCTCTGTGTATCCCTGGCTGTCCTGGAACTCACTCTGTAGACCAGGCTAGCCTCGAACTCTCGAACTCAGAAATCTGCCTACCTATGCCTCCCAAGTGCTGGACAAACTGAATTTTTAATACCTGTGGAATACTTGTGGAGTTTTTAGGTGGACAACAAATAAGACCAGAGACCCAGAAAAAGATCTTGACTGGAGACAGAGTACGTATCAGGATACAGAGGCCACTCGAGAGAGTAAGATCTCCAAGGAAACGCAAAGGACACAGCTCAGATGGGGTTTTGTGGTTTAAGGAACAGGTGGGCGGGTGGAGGAAGTTTCTCCCTCCCAGTGCAGAGGAAGCATCAGCCACAAGGGGAAGAGGAAAGGACAGAAGCAGAGATCAGTTGGACCATGTGCCACCGAACTGTCAAACAGCTCAGGATTACAGTGTCTGTGCAGAGTGGAGGAGTCTGCTTGGAAAGAGGGAGAAGCAGAATAGTGAAGATCACTTGGGTAGGCAACTCCAAGAGCTTAGAGGAAGGGCAGAGAGTAGGAGGCAGAGGAGAGATGGAGAGGCAGGCTGTGCTCTGCTTTCAGGGCCAAGCTTTGACTATAGAGCTCAGACCAGCCTTCAACCCTCTGCCCTCAGCCTCTCAAACACTCGGACTTTCAGGTATGAATCCCCACTCCTGGTAGGTACCTGAAAATCTAAGAGCCTGGTAAAAGGACATTTTCATAAAGACACAGAGGAGACTTGAAAAAGTTTCAAAGTCAATAAAAGTGTGGGGGGGGGGGCTGGAGAGATGGCTCAACAGTTAAGAACACGGGCTGTTCTTACAGAGGACCCAGTTTTAGTTCCCAGCACCCACATCACACCTCTGAGCCATCTCTCCAGTACCGTTTTTTTTTATTTGTTTGTTTGTTTGTTTAGACAGGGTTTCTCTATGTAGCTCTGACTGTCTTGGAACTCACTTTGTACACTAGGCTGCCTGGAACTCACAGAAATCTCTGCCTCCCAAGTGCTGGGAGTAAAGGCACGCACCACCACCAGTCCCTGCTCCCCAAAAGTCAACGAAGAGGTGCACACCTTCCATCTCCATATTCAGAGCGCTGAAGTGATGGTTGCTATGAATTTGAAGCCAGCCTGGGCCATGTAGCGGAGTTCCAGGTCAGCCTTGACTGAAGAATAATAGTGAATGTTTTATCGGTTTTTTATTTTTGGTTTTTGTTTTTTCCAGATAGGGTTTTTTCTGTATAGCTCTGGCTGTCTTAGAACTAGCTCTGTAGATCCAGGTGGTTTTGAACTCAGAAATCCTCCTGCCTCTGCATCCCTGATATTGGCTTAAAAAAAAAAAAGGTAATTTTGCCAGGCATGGTGTATGGTTCATGCCTTGAATCCCACCACTGGGAGGCAGAGGCAGGGGGATCTCTGTGAGTTTGAGGCTAGCCTGGTCTACAGAGCTAGTTCCAGGACAGCCAGGGCTGTTACATAGAGAAACTTTGTTTTGAAAGACAAACAAACAAACAAAAAGATAATTTTATAGTTTTGGTTGTGAGCCTAGCCTTTAATGGCTGAGCCATCTCTCCAGCCCAAAAGGTAATTTTAAATATCTGAGTGAACATACAGGTAAAATCAGCCTTTGGAGGAGGGAAGGAAGCGATGGGGTCATGCTCTCCATGCAGTGAAGTCGAGGGAATCTAAGGAGTAGGTCCTCCACTTGTCAGACCTCAAGATTATGTCAAGGGAAGAGAGCTGGCTGTCCCATGTCACCAGAGGAAAGAGGTATTCACTCTCTATTCCAGCTCTGCCAACAAAACCTGAAAACTTTATACCAGTGGAGGAAAAGCAAAGAGTCGAGAAGTTAGCTTTTGACTGTTGGCCCTCCCAGACTAGTCAGTCCCTCTGCCCACTAGGAGAGGGTGACATCAGGTGACGCCAGTCTCCAACCACCTCTCATGACGCTTTTATTTATTTATTTATTTTTTGAGACAGTCTCACTATATAGCTCCAGCTGTCCTGGAACTCACTATGTCGTTTATTATAGTTTATTTAAGAATTATTTATTTATTTGCTTATTTATTTTTATTATGAGTACACTGTAGCTCTCTTCAGACACACAGAAGAGGGCATCAGATCCCATCACAGATGGTCGTGAGTCACAATGTGGTTGCTGGGGATTGAACTCAGGGCCTCTGGCAGAGCTGTCAGTGCTCTTAACCGCTGAGCCTTCTCTCCAGCCCTCACTTTGTAGATAATGCTGGCCTTAAGCTCATAGAGATGCATCTGCCTCTGCCTCCTGAGTGCTGGGTTTAAGGCACGAGCCACTACGTCTGACTACTGTATCATGTGTGCATAGTCTCCAGTTCAGTTGCAATTAGTAAATTTACTGTGTCATCAGTAAAGGTCAGTCTGCCTTAAGCTACTCACAGAGCCCACTCCTTTGTCATTTGTAGTTCTTGACAGTCCCTTCCACACTGGAGACAGTCTCCAGTCAGTTCTTGTTAAGAATAGAAATAAGAGGCAGAGGCAGGCAGATCTCTGAGTTCGAGAGTTCGAGGCCAGCCTGGTCTACAGAGTGAGTTCCAGGACAGCCAGGGCTACACAGAGAAACCCTGTCTCAAAACAACAACAACAACAACAAAAAAGAATAGAAATAAAAAGGCTGGAGAGATGGCTCAGCAACTAAGAACACTGGCTGCTCTTCCAGAGGACCTAGGTTCAATTCCCAGCAACCACATGACAGTTCACAATCGCCTGTAACTCTAGATCCAAGGGATATGACGCCCTCTTCTGGCCTCCTCGGGCACCAGACATTTGGATGGTGCTGAGGCATACATGCAGACCAAACACCCTCACACAAAACAAGAGTGCGAACTGATGGAACCCCATAATAAACCTGAGGACCCCTCCAAAAGGTTGATGCATAGATAGTGCCCCCTAATATGTCCTAGATAGGGCTGAAGGTGATATGCACCCCTCTTTCTCTTTTCCTCTCACTTGTTTTTAGTTTTTCTGGTTGTTGGTCTACACAGGAACCACCAAGCTTCAAGTGTGAGGCAGTTGGTCACGGGAACACTGAGGCCCATGCTAACTTTTTTTCTTTTTCTTTTTCTTTTTTTTTTTTTTGGTTTTTTGGTTTTTTCGAGACAGGGTTTCTCTTTATAGCCCTGGCTGTCCTGGAACTCACTCTGTAGACCAGGCTGGCCTCAAACTCAGAGATCCGCCTGCCTCTGCCTCCCAAGTGCTGGGATTAAAGGCGTGCGCCACCACTGCCCGGGCCCATGCAAACTTAATAAATGGTCATAATATAACCTTTCCTTCATCATTGTCACCTGTACTTTTGCCCGTGTTCTCCTCTTGGCCTGGCTCCTCCTCTTCCTCATGATCTTCCCGTGTCCAGTTCAGAGCTCCCATCAGCACCAGGATCAAGTCTTTCTGATCCTAGAATGTCAGGTAACCCCCACAAGGTATCTAAAGGAAAATTATCAAGCTAGGTCATCTTCTCGGATTCTGGGTCTTGCTGGTTGCGTAGGCTGCTGACCACATCCTCCCTCCCCTTATTTATACATCTCCTCATCAGACACATCACACAGCATTTCTGGGCCCCCAAACCTGTGCTGATCTCTCCTACCCTTCCTCTCGTTCCAAGGGTCCTTCATACACACGCCCCCCCCACACACTGCTCTTAGAACCATGTCCCTCTGTATGGAGGCACCTGTTCCCATTTCTTTCTGGAAACTCAGCACCCCATTTTTCTATAGGTGACAGTGCCAACCACCATGTTCTCGGGCCGGTGGTGGCCAAGTACCTGGGGAAATCTAGGACTGAGTCTACAGAGCCCTGCTCAGGGACCCCAGCTCTGTGCCCTCTATCCTTTCACTTATACTGGGACAGATGGCCGGCAGGTGTCTCTGGCCAAAGGTGACAGGTTCCTACTGCTTCGAAAGACCAACTCAGACTGGTGGCTGGCAAGGCGCCTGGGAGCACCCCGGGGTTCTCGGCCCATCTTTGTTCCAGCTGCATACATGACAGAGGAATCAATCTCTTGCCACAACCCAGCAGACACTACCCACAACAGCTCCCTCTGGACTCCTGGTAAGTAAGCCGTGAGCCTTCCCCCTTCACTCTCTGGCTTCAGAATTTTACTCTTTGCCTTAGCTTCTGCTGACTCCTCTTGCTTTCCTCTGATAAGCCTAGCTCTCACCCACACCATGGTGGTGTGACAGTGGCGTCCCCAAACTCTTAGCTCCAAGCTGTCTAGGGCTCAGGTCACTTCCCGGCAGCCTATCCCTGCATTCCTTGACACAATTCCTCCAAGGTTATATCTGTTCTCACCTGCCACTCCTCCACTTCCCAGGGACAAAGCTGTATCATGGCTCCCTGGAGGAACTCTACCTGTCTCGGGAACCCCAGGTTGCTTCTGGGGAGCCTCCTCACCGGCTCCACAAACTATGCAAAAGCATCAGTATGGCCAATGTGAAGCCCTGCTCCCTGAAACCTTTCAAGGAAGAGTCAAGAGAAAGGTCTCTCTCCCAGGACTGCTGGATGACAGAAGCCAGTGCTGCTGTGGTGAGCTACAGAGTTTCCTCAGAGCATGGCTCAGAGCTTGATCTGCCGCCTGCACTACAGCGGGGGCCCTGTTCTGTGTGAAGTGGTGAATGGGACAGACAGCCTCCCTCCCTTAAGTACTGAAAATGGGAGAGGGGGACACAGACAATGCCCCTCCCTTAAAGAACTGAGAGGAGAAGAGAAGAGAGGGGGACAGAGCAAAGAAGACGGACACAGTGAGGAGAAGAGACTGGGGTGCTTTGTGCTTTGAGAAGATCGAGCAGGAACTGGAAGACTAGCCAAAGGCAAAGTAGGGAATGAGGAGGATAGCCGAGTTACACAGGCCCTGAGGGGATAGGGTGTCCAGTACAATGGGAGGAATGTCGGCAGACTGCTTTTTTCCTGTTCTAACTCCTCGCCCAGGGCAAGGTTTGTCTTATGTCCTGTTTTTAAGTCAGGGCAAAAGCAAGTTCCTTCTAAAATTGAGTGCCTTGGTCAGCCCCTCCCCCTTCTGTTATCAGTTGTATTTTGAGCCAGGGGTCTTACTCTGTCATAGGCCCAGCTGACTCGGACTCCTTATGTAATCCAGGCTGACCTCAAACTCCAGTAGTTGTCCTGCATCAGCCTCCCAAGCGCTGGGATTCCAAGCCAGCCTGGTGCGCCCGCGCTCTCTCTCTGTCACGGGTGTATAACAAGTCTTTCCCTCAGACCTCCCTAGCTCTAGCGTGGTCCCCCACTTCTCGGTGTCCTCTTTTACTCTCAATGGCGTGAAGAAGGGTCACTCTCTCTTTTCCACCCCCCCTACAACCCTTAGAAAAGCCTGTTCCCCTTTCCTGCAGCTCTGGGGCGGGGTTGTGCGGGGGAGGAGGGAAGTTGGCAACAGGAAGTGAGGAGAAGAGCAAAGACTGTGAGGGGAAGAATTTTTTTAAAAAGCAGCTGGGGACTGGGGTTTCTACCCGTGTACCAGGGGCCCCCTGGCCCAAGGCTGATGGTGAGTAAATGGGAGAGAGAGTGGGAGGGAATATCTAACTATCTCCTCCTTCCCGGCTTCTCAGGCAGGCAGGATCCCAGCCCCTCCTGTCACAGCCCCCCGTGTACTGTAATCTGTACCCTTCTCTGACGTCCAGGGTCCCTGTCCCAAAGCCCTTGTATTCCCTTCCATGCCCCACATGAGGCTGGGTGGCTGGAGGCAGCTCCCAACAGAATTTTAAAGAGAAAGGCAGTGAGTGCCTCTTCCTTCAGCTCTCAGACCATGGAGACACGGACCCCGAGGAATTAGAATTACCCCAAGAGTTTTATGCTAGGGAAATACAAGGCTGGGGTTCCAGTGCCAGCCAGAAAAGGAACTTGTCGCCCAGGAGGACAGTTCACACTGTTTTGACACCTCGTCAGACCTTCCTGCGGAAAAGACGGAGCTGGGAAAAAGATGAGCAAGGGACATACCTTTACTAGGACTGCTTAATTACAATGACTTTTTTTGAGACAGGGTCTCACTGTGTAGCTCTTAGTTCTGGCTCCCCTGAAACTCACTATGAAGACCAGGCTGGCCTTGAACTCACTGAGATCCGGGGGCCTCTGCCTCCCAAGTGCTGAGATTGAAGGTGGGAGCCACCATGCCTGGCTGTATGAGTACCTCTTGCCCTCTATTCGAACCTAAACCACGTGTTACGACCCCAAAAGCAGAATTGGGGATCGTTGGGTCTATTTATAGGACTGATCTGCTTCTCACTGTGGCCACATTTTATGTGCATAGGTGTTTTGCCTGCATGTACGCTTGTATTACCACATGCATGCAGTGCCCTCCGAGGCCAGAAGAGGGAGTCAGACCTCCTGGAACTGGAGTTACAGCAAATTTTAGCCCTAGTGAGGATGCTGAAAATCCAACCAGCACCCGTACCACCTCACCCCGCCTTAACGAACAGAGCCATCTCTCCAACCCCACAAACATCTTTCTCTGTCCTTTAGCAATATCTCTTCGATTACTTACTGGGGACAATTAACAGAGCTTAGATTCCTAGAGCTGTCAGGACACAGACTTCTTCGGCCCTAACAATGCCAGTAGCACCTGGATCCACCTGGGGATGGCGCTCCTGTGCCGCCCCCCCTCCTGTTTGCCCCAGTGTCCCCTCCATTTTCTTTTCTCCGTTTCTCTCTGTGGCTCTCAGAAGGTCAGAAGAAAGAGAAAATTATGAGAAGTGTTGAGAACTGTTGAGGTACCATCCAGACATTGCTTTGTCTCCCCCTAAACTCAGAATCCCGGCTCCATGGAGCAGACAGAGACTTTGATTAGGGACAGCAGTGCCCTGCAACCTCAGGAATGGCTCGATCCACAGGTGAGAACCCTCCCACTTCTCAGTCACATGTTAAAAAGTTAACTTTTTATGACCTTTCCCCTAATCCTTCTACAGCCTAGGACCTCCAAACCAAAGGTTCCTCTCCCTGTTTCAATTTCCCACCCTCAGGGTTTACCAAGCCTCAGCCAAAGCATCCCATGGCTTGATCTCTCGGAACAGCCCGGAGCCCCGAGGCCCTGTCCAGCTCTGCCACAGCTCCTGGATGACCCCCACGTGAGTCCTTCCTGCCTTCGAATGCCAAGATCCTTTCTGCATAACCCCACAACACCTGCTCCTCTAAAACATTTTCTTTCTGGGTGTTTGCGCTTCTCTGGTCTCCCCCCACCCCAAACTTTAACGGTCCCCACTTCTGGTAGATCCCTTAGAAACACTGGTGTCTGTGGGTGGCGCAGGGTAGCTTAGAAACAGTACTTCATACCCTTCCCAGGAGGAAAGATCAGGCCTGCTCAACATGACCAAGATTGCTCAAGGAGGGCGCAAACTCAGGTGAGAACTCAGAATATGCCAGGGGTCTGGGCTGGTGGATTTCACGGGGTAGAGAGCAGTGGTAACCGTGCGGGGAGCTCAGGCACTCTAGGTGAAATTCTAAAATGACCTTTTAACTACCTCTTCTCCTTCCTCTCCTCCCCCACAGGAAGAACTGGGGCCCTGCTTGGGTGGTGTTAACTGGTAACAGCCTTGTGTTCTACCGAGAGCGGCCACCGCAGTCTGCACCCTCCCAAGGCTGGGTGAGTACCGGCCAGGGGGAGCTGCCCAGGTTTGGGGTTACTGGTTTGCGTCTCAGGCCGACTGAGGCGAGGGCGGTGAGGAAGGAAATGGAGAGGAAGGTACAGGAAAGAGGAAGCAGCTCACCTTCCCGGAGAGGGAAGCGGTGAGGAAACAAACTCTTAGCCTCAGTTTCTCTCTTAATTGACAGGCGCCGGCTGGGAGCCGGCCGGAGAGTAGCGTGGACCTGCGCGGGGCGGCCCTGGCCAGCGGGCGCCAGCTGTCCAGCCGCCGGAACGTCCTGCACGTGAGTGCCTTCCGCACGTCCCCAAAGACAGGGTGACCCGAGGGCGCTCGTCCTCGCAGCGTTTTTGGGTCTCCTCGCTAACGCAAGACTTTCCCCCGCCCCCCGCCGGGCTCCCCAACCCAACCCTCCACCCCCAGATCCGCACAGTCCCCGGCCATGAGTTCCTGCTGCAGTCGGACGAGGAGACGGAGCTGCGAGCCTGGCACCGCGCGCTGCGGGCGGTCATCGAGCGGCTGGTTAGAAGGGTGCAGACCCCGGAAGGCACTCGGGAGGCGAGACCCAGGAAGGGGGGACCCCTGGGGGCCGAGAGAGCGAGGAGGCGCAAAGGATGTCAGACGAAGCGGTCTCCCAGTGGAGCCCCACTCCACTCGTGCTGGAATGTGGGGCTCTGGCATCAAGGTGGGGGTGCAGATGTTCTCCTGTCCAACCTCCCACCCTGGCCGCCCTGGTCTAGGATCGGGAGAACCCCTTGGAGCTGCGTCTGTCGGGCTCCGGACCCGCCGAGCTGGCGGAGCTGAGCGCTGGGGAGGATGACGAATTGGAGTCGGAACCGGTGTCCAAGTCCCTAATGCGGCTTGGCAGCCGCAGAACTTCCAGTACGAAGTGGACAGAGCTGGGCGGGCTGGGGTGCAGGGAATGGGTCCTCCCCTCCAGCTCACTGTCCTGGCTTTTGCAGGTCGGTGTGCAGAGGGCACTGACCAGAAGAACCGCGTGCGGAACAAGTTAAAGCGGCTAATCGCCAAGAGACCAACCTTGCAGAGCCTTCAGGAGCGGGGCCTGTTCCGAGGTAAGGTGGGCTGGGCCCTGTGGGACAGTGAGGGACCCATCTGGAAGCGGACTCACAGGGCCCACTGGAGCTCTGCTCTTCGTACTGGCTTTACTAGTGTCTTTATTTTGTGTAGATTTTGGTTTTTGGATTTTATTATTGTTGGAACAGGCTTTCAGTATTTATACCAGGCTTTACTCAAAGTTGGGCAATCCTCCTGCCTCAGCCTCCTAAGTGTTGTAGGGATTACAGGTAAGAGGTATCATGCCTGGCCTGATAAGTCTGTTTTCAGGATCTTCTATATTCCTGATCTTAGCATTAACCAAAACTCTAGTGAGACTCAAAATAGAATTTCCAGCACTAGATATATTCCAGTCTGCGTCGGCCCCTGCTTTTCCCATACCCCTTGTTTGCAGGTCAGAGGAAGGGCCTTGCCCCTAGGAAGCACCCAATTCCACATCTCACTCCCTTTCTCTGCAGACCAGGTTTTTGGCTGCCAGTTGGAGTCGCTGTGCCAACGGGAAGGGGACACCGTGCCCAGCTTTGTCCGGCTTTGTGTTGAGGCCGTGGATAAAAAAGGTTATTTTTCCAAAGACCCTTGCCTCCCAAATCTCCCCTTTCAAGCCCCAGGCTCCCGTCGCCCCCATCTCTGCCTTCCTCCTGACCCTCCTCTCCCTCAGGCCCCTCCATACACACTTTAGAGTTAGAGACCTCAACCTTGTCTCCTAGGTCTGGATGTGGATGGCATTTACCGGGTGAGTGGGAACCTGGCAGTGGTCCAGAAACTCCGCTTTCTGGTAGACAGAGGTGAGACAACTTGGGAGGAAGTAAATGAGTCTAAGAACACGCCCCCAACACCTCAGAAGCGGAAGTGGTTCTAAGTGAGGGAGTTGGAACCGCATGCCTAAGTTACGGGTATCTCATGTATGTTGCAGAACGGGCAGTGACCTCCGATGGGAGATACATGTTCCCTGAACAGCCAGGACAAGGTACTTAACATGGGAAGCCCCCAGATTCTCAAAAAACCCGCTTTATACCCCATATCCTGCCCCTACAAACGCTGTCCCTACCCCTCTTTTGTTGTCCTACTATGCTCCACTAGGGACCATCACCCTATTCTTGTGACCTGCTTTGACTGTATTTCCCCGGAATTCCTGGCCTTTGAATCTGGAATTCTCTGACTCTTCTGAGCATTCAACCAGAGGAACCTCTTTTTCCCTTCTAGAAGGCAAATTAGATCTAGACAGTGCTGAATGGGATGATATTCACGTGGTCACCGGAGCCTTGAAGCTTTTTTTTCGGGAGCTGCCACAGCCTCTGGTACCTTCGATGTTGCTGCCCCACTTCCGGGATGCCCTTGGTAAGGGTTGAGGGCATCAGATAACACCCCTGACATAAGCGGGCACACAGTAAAGAATAGAACAGAGGGTCCCTTCCGTCTTTACTGCAGGGGTGGAAAATAATTTATATGCCAGCCTGAGTTGTTCTCAAAGGGTGGGGATATGTGTGTGAATGTTTGCTGAGAATTGCCGCTGGGCTTTGTGGAAGAGCGGAGGGCTTTGGTTCTGCAGTAAGGTATGCTTACCGTATGTAAGGCCCTTAGCTGAGTCTCTTGTACCAGAGAGAGCAAGCCAGACAAATGATACCATCCGTGGACATGGGAAAGAGTGAATTTACCCACCCTTTTCTAGCCCTTTCCCTAATGTCACTCACTCTCCTTGCCTTTGCCCTCTCTAGAACTTCCTGAGCCAGAGCAGTGCCTCTCTAAAATACAGAGATTAATAGACTCGTTGCCAAGGCCCAACCGTGACACCCTGCAGTACATCCTGGAGCACCTATGCAGGTCAGGGAGACTCAGCAGCCTTGTTCGTGCTGGTGAGGATAGAGCAGGGGTTCACTGGGGACCCTGATCAGGGAGGGTGGAGACAAGAGACTCTGACTTGTGTCCAGGCCTGTGGCTAGCTCAGCCAAATGAAGGAAAAGAGCAGAAGCTAGAGGAGGATGCTTCGGGAGAAGTGGGAGAAACAAGGGCACTGGTCCTTCCCAGCTAAGGAAGTACTCTTCCTTCCCTGGCCTTAGTCTCCCATGGAGCAGGGGTAGCTTCCTTAGCTGAGTTGTACTTGGGCTCGTTTAGGTGTGGTCCTCCCACATTGTGAACAGAGGACGGACACTAGAGGCTGTCCCTGCAGTTGAGAGCCAGGCACTTTGACCCCACTCGTGCCTCCAGACTGTATCCTGAAGGTTTCTCCACTGGCCCGTCTCTGCTTCCTGTTAGGTCTGTTCTCGATTAGGCCAGCATGTGGAAGGATTCCAGAGTGACCTCTGACCTGCTCAAACCTAATGGGGCTGTACTGATCTGTAGTGGGTAGTTATGGACTCTCTCCCCTTCTCTTGGCTTTGCCCTCAGGGTGATAGCACACTCTGATAAGAACCGAATGACCGCCCACAACCTGGGAATTGTGTTTGGACCAACGCTGTTTCGACCCGAGCAGGAGGCCTCAGACATGGCAGCTCACGTGTTCTACCCTGGGCAGCTGATCCAGCTCATGCTCAACAACTTTGCTAGCCTCTTCACCTGACTCAGGCGAGGAAGAGGAAGGTGCTTCCTGCAATTGTTCAGCTAGCCTTTGGAGAGGGCTGGCAGGTTTTCTGTTCTGAAGATGTCCTGTGAGTGTCCTCCCAAAGGACACTCTTTGTTTCCTGCTCGAGTCTCGCTTGAGCTCCTGGCTGAGAGGGGTTTGCTGAAGAGGAAGGTGTAGGAACTCATTTCTGCTCTCCCCGACGTGACACACGACGCTTGCTCTCAGCATTCCTTTATTGTCAGGAAACTGTGTCATTATTAAAGTTTTGGGTTTTTTTTTGGCCTGGAACGTACACAGACTAAATACAGCCCCAGCCCAAACCTCCCATCCCTGGGCACCTCATGTAGCCGTTTAGGAAACATGATCTGGTTGGGGTTCCTTATCCTTTTAGGCACTAGAGTTGAGGAATTGTGTCTCTCCAGGCAGAGACCCCAGTAAGACACTCATGTTACCCACTGCCATGTTGGGGGGCCCAGAGGGAGGTGGGGTGTTTTTAGAGCTGTCCCCTTGCTCATGGGAAGGAGGAGGGCTCAGCCCCTGGGCCTCATCTAGAATAGCCACAAAGTCCAGCTGAGTGTTGTCCAGGTCAAGAGAGTCCAGAGGGTTACACACCTGCCCTTCAGGAGGAGGGTACAAGGCAGGGCCTGCTCCTAACCTACCCACTTCAGGATGGCCACAGCTGGGGTTGGTGTCCCCCACCTTGAGGGGCCCATAGCAGGGGGGCAGCGGGGGCAGAAGCCGGGGCGGTGCTGCTGGCCTTTGGGCAGGCCTATTTACTCCCACGGAGAAAGTTTCATGGCACGGTGAAGGGGTGGGATAGGAGCCAGGTTTATGATTGGCCAAAGCAGGTGCAAAGCCAGATCCGTACGCAGCCGCCACTGTAGCAGTTGCTGCTGGGGCCTTGACAGGGCTCTGACTTACTTGGGAACCCCCCAGGAATTTGGGACTCTGATATGGGAGTTCCTGGTTAGGGAGCCCTCCCCGGTTTCTGCCCTCCCACAAAAATTCCTGCTGCGACTGAACGTAGTTACACAGGAGCTGAGCTCTGAGCTGTCCTGTGGAATGAGAGGAGGGATTGAAATTGAGGCCAGGCCTGGGTTCTGATGAGAGATAATCGTGGGGAGGCTGAGAATAGGGACCTGACTGGGGATACTGGGGCGGAGGAAGCTGGGGGTGATGCGAAAACAGAGGCTGTGGGCCTGGGGACCCTTCACTGGGGTGGGCATTGAGGCAGGGTGCCAATCCGGTGGAGTCAGACCCCACTGGGCACCCTTGTTCTGGCTTTACCTGTACTTGTCCATAATGCTCAAGTCGGAGACACTGGCTATAGGCAGCACCTGGCTTAGTGCCAGGGAACACTCCAGCATGGGAAGGAAACTCGCCCCATGTCTCTGGGGTAGGATCAGGATAGGAGACCTGCTGTGGACAGTGGCCAGGGCCATAGTTGGTTGGTGGACCAGGCCCAAGAGGCAGAGAACCTGGTCCCCTAGTTCCATAAGGCTCAGCCGCTGTCCCTTCAGGACCCCCATATCCCAGAGTATCGGCAGAGGAAAAATCCATGTATGGATTCAGACCATTGCCCATCACGGAAGTTCCAACCTCTGGCTCCTCCTGGAGTCCTCTGGTATCCATAGCAACATTTTCCGTGATGCTGGGGGGCTGGGGCGAATAGACAGAGGTAGGGAGGTGGGGATCGAAGTTCCGTCCCGTTGCCACACTAGGGGGCGTGTGGACACATCCCAAGCTCTTGAACCGTTGGACTCTGGCTGGAGCTGGGTGATCAGCAACCCGAGCTGGGTCACTGGCCCTCCGGGTGACCCCTGCATTGGGGTTGTATCCTGGGTACTCGGCTCGGCTTCTCCAAGGAGGTACAGGAAGACTCCCCATCCGATCTAGGCCTTGCGCTGCAGTGGGCGGGGTGCCACTCCCCCTGGCTGAAGCATATCTGGCACGGAGCATGCAGTGCTGAGCAGGTGTGAGGCCAGGTAGTGACGATGTCCCATTCTCTGGTGGGGATCCCGGAGGGAAAGGGGATGCCAGGGAGGACCGGCGGCTGACGGTGTAAGCAGAGCTCATACTGCTGGAGCTGCTGCTGCGGCGGTCAAGGGAGACTGGGGGGCCCAGACGGCGAGACACGGGTGCGCCTGCAAAGGACAAGGAGAAAAGGCAGTGTTGGGAGCCCCTTGATTCTCACCCCGCCTTTCCCACAGGATAGCCTGGGCTTGGAACCTCCACTCTAGCTACGCTGTCTGCTCCTCCCAAGTGCTTTCCCCACACTCATTCTGCTTCTGCTTCTGAAGGGATTCTAGGTGGCCATAGTTTGCACACCGCCTCACAGTCATAGAGAGAACACACCACAGATGTACTAAACACATTATTCTACAGCGGCGGGACTAGCGGTGTGCACCACCACACCTAGCTATACATCTCAGTTTTCTGATTGACAGAAGGAAAAATGTCTTCAAGAAAGAGGGTATTCTTCAAACGATAAAAAGATGCCAACGTGGGAGTGGGATGGGGGTGTGTGGAGAGATGGGTCAGCAGTTAAGAGCGCTGCCTGCTCTTCCAGAGGGCCTGAGTTCAATTCCCAGCAACCCTAGGGTGGCTCACAACCATCTATAAGGGGGAACTGATGCCCTCTTATGGCATGCGGATGTATATGCAGCAGAGCACTCACTAAAAATTAAACCACGTGGCAACTCAGGGCAACCCGGCCATATCAGCCTCAGGGGAGCAACACCTCCCACATCCGGGTCTCACCAGCGTGGGTTAAGCTGGGCAGTTTGAGGCCCCGAGACCCTATTGGCCGGAGCTGATGCAGCTGATCCAGTCTGAGGTTCTCCAGGCGGCGAAGGGTGGAGAGTCCGGTGGCCGCAACACAAGGCCCTTCATCCAAGCTGGACAAGTCCTCAGTGCTGCCTCCTGCGTTGCCCGCCATCTCCACGCCGCTGTCCGTGTTGGCCGCGCTGCCAGCTGGGGAGTGGTCGCTGCTGCAGGAGGACTGTGCTCCTGGGCTCTGCTGTGGCTGAGAGGAGGGCGAGAACTGCGAGTGTGGCACGCGCCCCAACTCCCTCTTGGTGAGTGGCTGAAGCCCAGTGATTGTGAAGGCTGAGCAGAGGCATGAGGGAGGGGGACGGTGGAGGGTGGGGGTGGGGGTGGGGTTGGGGGCACACTAAGGTGCAAAAGAGCAAAAGGTTAGAGTAAACTAGAAGGAACTGAGAAGACTCCGCTGGAGTACAGACCCCCAAAGCTCCATGCCTGCATAACAGTCCTACAGCCTTGACAATTTCTTCTTGCCTGTTTCTTCTTGTGGTTAAGACTTCACAAAGTAGGGGGCTGGAGAAATGGCTCAGTAGTTAAGAGCACCTATCCCTCTTCCAGAGATCCTGAGTTCAATTCCCAGCAAACACATGGTGGCTCACAATCATCTGTAATGGGATCCGATGCCCTCTTGTGCTTGAAGACAGCTACAGTGTACTCATATAAATAAATAAATCTTTTTTTTTTTTCTAGACAGGGTTTCTCACTCTGTAGACCAGGCTGGCCTCGAACTCAGAAATCCACTTGTCTCTGCCTCCCAAGTGCTGGGATTAAAGGTTTGCGCCACCACTGCCTGGCTAAATAAATCTTTTTTTTTTTTTTTTTTTTGTTTTTTCGAGACAGGGTTTCTCTGTGTAGCCCTGGCTGTCCTGGAACTCACTCTGTAGACCAGGCTAGCCTCGAACTCTCGAACTCAGAAATCCGCCTGCCTCTGCCTCCCAAGTGGTGGGATTAAAGGCGTGTGCCACCACCGCCCGGCAATAAATCTTTAAAAAAAACAAACAAACAAACCGGGGGTGGGGGTGGGGGGGTGGGACTGGAGAGATGGTTCAGTGGTTAACAGGTCCTGAATTCAATTCCCAGCGGCCACATGACCACATGGTGGCTCACAACCATCCCTAATGGGATCTGACACCCTCTTCTGGTGTGTCTGAAGACGGCTACAGTGTACTCACATAAAATAAATAAATAATTCTTATTCTTTAAAAATATACACAAAACATACATGTCAAAGGCTTGGAACTATATAGTTAAGTGTTATCTGAGAGCAAGTCCATAGTGGCCTGAAGATTTACATAGTGGTAGAGCATTTGCCTGGTTCGTATCCCCAGAAGCACCTCCTGACCATGTGTTAGACCAATTAAACAATTGACAATTACAACATCTTTAGATTTGGGAGTCACTCATGGAGCAACACTGAAACTAGAGGCTGGCAGGCTGGGCTGGCCACAGAAGACTGATGTGTACAGCAGGAGATGCTTAGGAAAGGGCTAGAAAGTCGTTGGCAGAGCATGAGTGGGTATAGAGGTAAGGCTTCCTAGGCTGGCTCACCATGGTACCCTCGGGCACAGTCAGTCTACTGTCTTCCCTGCCGGATCCTCCTTCCCTTTCCCGCTTGGGTTCCACAGTGGAGAGGGACTGCGTCCGTGGCAAGGGGCCATCCCCTCGATGCCGCTTGGTCACGTGGGCATCCGGACCGTGCACTGTCTTGACGTGTTTGCGGAGCGAGCTGGGATCTGTGTAGCGCTTGGTGCAGCCTGGGAGCTTGCAGACATACGGCTTCTGTTGAGTAGAGAGCCAAGCTAGAAGGCCAACGGACCAAAGCAGACGAACTCAAACAGAACGGGGTGGGAGGCGCGGGGGAAGCTCCGAGACAGGTGAGTGAGGGGGATGCACAGCATCCCAGGAAGTAAGGGGGCCCTTCAGGTGGAAGAAATCGTGAGAAGCTTTACAGGAGGCTTAAGAAAACAAATAAAAGTGACCCTCAGGGCTGTGAGGTCACCTATATTCAGAAGCCGAACGAGTCGTCAGGGGTCTACTTTAGACTGACTCTTGGGCTAGTTAAACTAAGTGTGGAAGATGGGAACTCTGGTTTCTCATCTCTGTGGAGAGAGTCCTAGGTTAAGGGGCTCTTTATGAGGGATGCTTAGGCTTAGGCAGTAGTTTCTGCAGTCCGGAGTGGGTGGGTCTCAGTTTGAGCGCTCACCTCATTGGAGTGGGTCCGATTCTGGTGCTTGGCGCGGTCACTGGCATTGCTGAAGGCCTTGCTGCAACCTTCTTGCTCACACATGTAAGGCTTCTCACCCGTGTGCGACCGAAGGTGCGTCTTCAGGTTCTCAAGGCGTGAATAGGACTTCCGACAGCCTTCAAACTGCGGGATGTGAAGGGGCCAAACATGTTCTCAGACAGGGCATGGAGGTTTAAGGATTTACACCAGAGAATTTAATTAAAAATGGGAGAACACTGGGACCT